AATTGATGATTTTGAGTTATGGTGTTGGAGTGTTGGAGGAGAATATTGATTGAAAGTGCCATGGGCTGCCAAAAGAACAAACAGATCTGTGTTAGAAGAAGTACAGCCAGAGTGCTCCTTGGAGGCCAAGATGGCCAAACTTCATCTTTCATTCTTCAGACATATTGTCAGAAGGGACCAATCAATGGAGAAGGATATCATGTTCGGTAAGGTGGAGGGTCAGAGAAAAAGAGGAAGACTTCCAACGAGATGGATTGGCCAAGTAGCAGAATCGATGGACTCAAGCATGGCAACAATAGTGAGGTTGGCCCAGGATTAAGCTGTGTTTCATTCTGCTGAGCATAAGGTCGCTATGAGGCGGTACCGACTCGATGGCGCCTAACAACACAACAAATGTACAGTCTAGGAGCGGGAGTGGGTAGGAACAGTTTTAACCTACCCAAACCTAGCCAGAAACAACAAAAGATAGTCATTTGATTATCTCCAGATAAAAAACTTTGGTATGGACAAGTTTATCATAAAAAAAACAAACAGAAAAATTACACATTAGAAAAAGTATAGAAGATAATCAACCTATATATGATACAAACTTAACAAGGAAAAATCCAATATTACTATAGAATATTGGTAAAAATCTATATAAAAGGTAATTCCTGGAACAAAAAATTTAAATATTTATCTTTGATTTGATTAGATATTTTCATTTCTTTCTGGTTTCATTTGCTACTAAATTCAGGTGGTAACTCTGAAATTGAGTTCATTATCTTCTCTTTTCAATACCAGTTTCTCTTCAGATTTCCTTTATCTCCCAGTCTTAAAGAATTCTGAGATTTCTTAACTTCTTTTGTCTACTCAGTTCAGCTACCCGTCCTGGCTACATGTGTCAACCTAAAACTCTCTGAGCCTCTGCATTATGACTGTGGAAAAAGTCTCAACGACACAGTGGGAAAATCATGGAATTTGGAGTGTAAGTTTTCGTTCACATCTAGTCATTTACCAGTTCTGTTGTCTCGTGCATGGTGTGCTACCTTACTGGGTCTTGATTCTCTCCACTGAAAATTGGGATGACAGTACCTGCTTTTTGGAGTCCTGGTGTGTCACTGTGGGCTAATGCGTCAGACTACAAAGTCGGTGGTTCAAGCTCACCAGCTGCTCCTTGGAAACCCTGTACAGGGTTGCTGTGGGTCAGAATTGACTCAAGGGCACTTTAACAACAACAACAATAACCTGCTTTTAATTGTCACTCTAACAATTGACAGAAGTAATTTATATTAAAGTGCTACCATAGTATCGACTAAGGATCCCTGGCAGCATAGTGGATTCCCAGTTTAGCTGCTAACCACAAAGTCAGCAGTTAAAACTACCAGGTGCTATGCAGGAAAAAGATGAGACTTTCTGCTTCTGTAAAGCTTTACAGGCTTAGACCCTTTACAGGGTCATTATGAGTCAGAACCACCACCACCACCACGAGGTCTAACATAAATGTATTGTTGTTGTTAAGTGCCATCATATCAGTTCCAACTCATAAAAACTAATCTGAGGAGTAGCAGGTGAGTTTGAACTCCCAACCTTGCAGTTAGCAGTCCAGTGCTTCTCCTATTGTGCCACACCAGAACCCCATAAATTAAGGCCTAAGAAATGTTAGTTTCCCCTTCCCTACACTTCAGTCTCTTAGAGTTAGTCTTGGGACTGGGTTACCAGCAAAGGCATTTTGATTACCTGGTTCCAAACACAAGGGTTTAGAACACACCCTACTTACTCATACTCATTGTTAAAAGCAATGTTATCACATCATTCTCCTGATTAAAAATCGTTAATGTGCTAAATCCTTAAGTTATTGCCATAAGTTATTGCCAAGACACTCTTACCTGTGAGGCACAAATAATTTGAAGACATTGACAAAGGTACACCAAAACACAATTTTTAAACTTGTGGAAAACTCTTGATTTATCTTAATACCATATACTATATTTTCTTTCAACATCTTGAACCAGCAATCCACTGGGGATACTAATATAGAAAGTAAGTTCTACATTCTTTTCCTAATATCTTACTTTTTACTTGAGATGTTTTTAGTATGAGGATAAGTCAAAAAAGTACTGCTATAAAATCATAGAAACCTTTTTTAAACAAAAATACTAAAATGTGAAGGTACTGGCTCTCAACATATCCTCCATTTAGGGCTATACATATCTGAAGGTGTTCTTCCCACTTCTCTATAGCCCCTCTCTGAAGAATTCTGCACTCTTGAATTTGCATCACATCAAAACAGCAGTTTTGGCATCCTTTTAAATGTTCTTTGAATTGGTGGGACAAAAAGAAGTCTGAAAGGGAAAAATCATTGATGTAGGGTAGATGGAGTAAGGTTTCCCAAGGACATTCTCACAGGATCGCCCTGGCTACAAAGAATGAGTAGTCCTGGGCCAGCCTACTGTTGCCACACTTGAGTCCATCTCATTGAGGGTTTTCCTCTTTTTCTCTGACCCTCCACTTTACCAAACATGATATCCTTCTCAAGCGACTGGTCCCTCCTGACAATATGTCCAAAGTTTGAGAGACGAAGTTTGGCCATCTTGGCCTCCAAGGAGCACTCTGGCTGCACTTCTTCAAAAATGGATCTATTGGTTCTTTTGGCAGCCCATGGCACTTTCAAAATCATCAATTCTTCTACAGTCTTCCTTATTCACTGTCCAGCTTTCTCATGCATATGAGGTTATTGAAAACACCATGCCTTGGGTCAGGCACACCTTAGTCCTCAAACTGACATCTTTGCTCTTCAACACTTTCAAAAGGCCTTGTGAAGCAGATTTGCCTACTGCAATACATCCTTTGATTTCTTGACTTTTGCATCTGTGAGTGTTGTTAGTTGATTCAAGAAGAATGAAGTCCTTGACAACTTCAATCTTTTCTCCATTCATTGATAAGAATGTTGTTTATTAGTCCAGTGGTGAGGATTTTTGTTTTCTACATTGAGATGTAATCTATAGCGAAGGCTGTGCTCTTTGATCTTCATCAGTAAATGTTTCAAGTCCTCTTCACTTTCAGCAAGCAAGGTTGTATCATAGAACCCAG